TAACTCCTGTTCCTTTCCCTTTCGATTTCCCTTTTGCACCGGAGGATTTGCCAGCCTTGCCTTTGCCCTTTGGGTTCCAGTCACCCCAGGATTGCTGAGGGTACGAACGCTTGCTGTATAAGGCCAAAGGTGTAATATAGTGCCTCTCCTTTGTCGTCGGGCACTTCCAAGCTTGCTCCAAGGCTGCCCCTAGTCTGAGGCCATCTGTGATCATCAACGAGTATGCCTTCTTCCTGATCGCCTGCTCGTATGAGAGCACCAAAGTCCAAGGCGGCGACTGGATCTGGTTGCCTTGGAGGTCTGTTGAAGAAAGGCCCCATACATAGTCCCCCAGCACATAATCTTTGTAACGCTCAAAAAGGTCACGCGTCACATCCTGTATCTCCTCTCTGTTGGTGTGCTTGATGGCCAGCATGAGGATGGCGTTGACCATGACTGTAAGGCGCCGTCGCAGCTGCTCTGGACCAGTCGGCAGCGGGATGGTCGATGCCCCCTTTTTCACCGACAGACTGCCCTTGGAGTCGAAGATGGGCACTAGGACATCGGGGTCGACCTCATCTTTGGAGACAACTTCTGTCATCGTCTCCGCTCTGAACTCCCCGTTCTCCAACTCCTGCAGCTTCTTCTCCAGATACTCCTTAGACGGAGTCACTTTGTCTTCCAATCTGCCGTGCACCTTCATGTAGGCGTTTCGCATGCTAATGTAATCACCCGTGGCTATCGGTTTCGTCCACTCACGGGTGTCCATCTCAGCCTCCACCTCCATCTGTCGCTTCTGCTTCGTTTGCGTCTCCCTCCAAGCGCAAATGACAGCTGCTACCTGCGCTCTTGAACGCAAGTCTGTGCCTGAGTCCGTGTTGAAGGAGTCCCGCAACACGCTCACCAGATCATCCTCTGTTCTGAAAAACGATGAAAACTTCTGCACTGTCGTAACCTCGTTTCGGTAAAATTCGAAACATCGTTCCTTGTCAAAATGAATTTCAGATCAGAGCTTCCTTTCTGCAGTGCTTCTTGCATAGCTATCTCTTCTGGTGAAGCCATGCCGTCCACAGGAGTCTACAAGTGTCGCAGCTAACTAACGTGTAGATGGATTTGTACAAATGAAGTGCAATGAAAAACGCAGTGAAAGATTTGCACATGCTGATACCCTAGTCACCGTTTCTATGTCCTGTTCACCGATTGCTGAGCAATGACAGGAAAAAATCTCTGAAAGAAAGCACAAACTGTCTTGGATCCGAGCTGAGCCGTATCCTCCGGAGAAATCTGCGGACTTCTCTCAAGACGGCCATGCTGATTCCGGCATGGACTCTAATAGATCTCAAAAAGAAAAACCTTCAAAGCAAATGCATCAGTCCACAATGGAATTTATCAAATCTCACTTCAGTCAAACCGGAGCTTCAACTCATGACTGCTTCCGAGCTCAGCTACCTGAGAATCCCCCTTTTTCTTACTCCATTCATGACTGTGCCTTCAACATCCATTAGGATGGTGCTCAACCTACAGCTGCTATTCACTTGACTGTTCTGATGAGCTACTGGCGCTTCTGGAACTCGACGTCGATGATGACGACGATGAGTCAGGTGAAATCTCAGATGGTCTGGCCTTTGGCCAACATACCTTGCAATAGTGCGTAAACTCTTCTGAACTTGGCATGGAAAAGAATTCAACTGAAGATTTGAAGTTCATCTCTCTTCCCATCCAACATCCCCCTTGGCTCTTGTGGAGTCTCTTGCACTTCTTTCCATTGTTGACAACTATAAACAAAGGAGCCCTCCGTTCAGTTCTCTCGCATTCAAACTCTGCCTTTCTTGCATCCTCTTCAGCGTCTTGTTGAATCTGTACTCCAAACGGAGGACCCCACATCGGTTCCTCCTCCACTGCGGTCCAGCCCGCCAACAACGGTGATCCTAAGGATTCCTCCAGGTATTGCAATATGTTGTCAACTGTCTCACTTGGCAAGCTCTCACATCTCGATGTTACCCAAGACAACGCACTCTCCACAATGTCCCGTTCATCCAACAATTGCGATCTGTCCCTCATCCTAGCTGTCTTTGCAAACTGTAACTGTAAACGTGCAATGACACCATTGTACATCCTCAAATAAGTGTCTGACCCATCAGGCTTCCACCTTCCAAGCATGTCCCGCTCTTCCCTTGGTGCTCCAAGCAGCGAAAGCCCCGTGGGAATGGTCGCCCGCTCTGAGTGCTCTGTCCAGAAAGAAGAAAGCACCTGGTGGACGATAGGCTCCTGGAGTCCTGGTCTCTTCAGTTTACGTCTCACCCTGGCGGAGTAAGAACTGATGTCATTGTATGAAGCCATCACCTTTCTGAATGCAGACCACTCTTCATTCAGCTTTGGCAACATGTAGTCACGTTCAAAGGGTGCATTGTGCATGCTTCTTGAACAAATCAAAACCTGTCTTCAACCAAAAAGGGCTAGAAATGTATGCATGCTCTGAGACGCATACTGGCAGCTCCTGAACACGTTTCGAGGGCCCTGTTGTCTTGGTTGAACGCAGGATTGTTGTCATGCGTCCCCCATAAAACTTGAGCTCCTTCGGGACTATCTTCTGTATGTCGTCCCATCTCAATGTTGCCCAAAGCTTCACCAACTTTATCCAGGCAACCAAACGGAAACCAACACGCAGTGATTCATCCTCTACCATGTGTTCAAATGCTTCCATCATGACAACTGGATACCGAGGTGCCCGCTGTGTTGGAGGCCTGTCACGTGACAACATATCCACGATGTAGTCCCTCACAGAGCAAACGACCTGTGATTCACCAATCCTTTCACGTGGATCTATGCAAGCAGTCCGCTCAAACCAGACTACAGCCTTGACAATGAGTGGTGGGACTGTTGGTCCACATGGTTCATCATATCTTGCAAACAAATATTCAATCAGGTCACCAACCTCGGGGCTCCCACCATCTCCACGCGCTGCTGACAGCCACTGTCTGAACGCTCTCCAGACTTTGACATATCTCTTGAGAGTGTTGTGCCTGGTCCTACCTGCTAAAGCAAGATGGACATGTTTCTTGTCCACACAATGTTCCAAATGTTCTAAGGCCGGAGCATCCAAACGCTTGAGTTCCTTGAAGAGCTCACGAGACCATGCTTCTTTCTGGTCATCTTCTCTCTTTCGTCTTTCTTCTACTGTCTCATTGACATTGCTGTTCCTACGGCAAGGTCTTGTCAAAGGCTCTTCAGAAAGAACATCAAATGAACATGCAGAGGTCGGCACTGGAAATAAGATCGTCCTACGTTCCTGCAACAACTGATCATGCAAAGGGTCCAGACTGCAATCGCTCCTCCGATCTTACCTCTTTAATGAGGTCTGCTACAGCATCAACATGTTTCTGTTCACATACCACTCCGAGCTCCAGACAAACCTGAGCAGCTATATCGTCTGCATCGTTTGGCATGTAAACTGCAAGTTTCTTGTTGTCCAAACCACAAGATTTCAACAGCTGCTGTACCATGTCCTTCACAGAATCGGACCCCATGAGTCTTCGGGAAGACTAGGCAGCGCCGCCCCCTACACACTAAAAAAATGCTCCAACCCCATATTTGATCCACTCAAATGGATACGGTACATTAAGGAATTCAATTGCAAGTAAAATCCTATACATGAACAGAACCGGTGACATAACCCTTGTGTATGTCAACACGTTGATACTCCATACCTAAGGAGTAAATAAAAAGAACATCTTGTGAAGATTCAGGTAGTGTTGTTTTACAACACCTCAATACCTAAGAAGCCTTCCAGATAGAACCAAGAAAAGGGAAACCGGAAACACTCAGCGGAGTTGTTTCAAAGTTTGGTTTGTTTATCTGGAAGTTGATCTTCAATACCTCCGAGTGTCTAGAGCACAAGTAGAGCGTAGGAGTCGCGTGGGGAGGGCGTACACCAGGAGTAAGAGACCGAACCCGCAGAGTCAGAACCGGACACCGCCGCGAGTTACTTACTCACAAACACACAGTCGCAACACGTCGCGATTGCAAAACACTGTACAAGGACAAAAAAGTCCTTAGTATAAGCAAATCGATAAAACAACAAAACGAAAAACACAACCACACCAAAAACGACGACCCGCAAATCCCCCAGCCAGACTTGCGTTTCGCCAGCGGAAACAGCGAAGCAAACAGCCGAAAACGAACCAAAACACAAAAAACGGGGCCAGAGCCCAAACAAAAACACCCACCGAATCGATTTGCAATCGGACGCAGTGGCAAATCCACTGCATCACTATCAAAAGCATGCAAAAAATAAATTATGTATCGCAGCTGTCCAGGCAGACATGAAGACTCTAGCTCGGAATTTAACCCAAGCATGAGACAAGCTGTACACGAAAGCAGAGCTACTATGAAATCTCTCTCAGAGTCCTCTCAGGTCAGCTCGTCATGGGCCTTCATGGACGTAATAGTCATCCTCTTGACTGTCAGCTGCGATCACAAACCAAGGTCAAATGCTGTGAAAAACGCAAACCCAAGTACACCTCTCGTGTACCCAAATCAACGCTTTCGTAAAATCACTACGCCAGACGCAAACACTTACTATGGTTGCGACTCCGCAGTTACTTACTTCTCTGCAATGTCAAATAAAGGAACTTGTTCCACCCCGACTCCTAAGTGCACGTCAGACTCCTTCTTTTCTCTCCAGACGCCACACACAACGGAACAGGTCAACAAGAACCAGGGCAGGCACACAGCCACAGCCCACAAACAAAGAAAGGAAGCAAGCTGTTCCAGTGTGGCTACTGTTTCAAGTGCCCTAGGTGACACTGCAGTTCAGTTCTCTTCGGAACACTCGACACCACTCCCTTGAGCCGATGTCTCAACTGGAAAACTCGATTCCAGGTTTCCAATACACAACCTTCCCTCAAAGGTTGTTGGAACAATTCCAAACTGCTATGATATACAAATCACCTAGTCACAAAAACGTCAGAAACATTTCTAAAAATTCTCAAGTCAAACTGGTTCTCGTCCAAACGCAAATAACCAGTTAGCCGGTGTTACTAGTGTCTACCAAATGTCTACACTAGTCACACGGCTAGTCAAGAACGAAATGATTCACTCAAATTCCTTTACAAAATCCTCTTGCAATACAGAATAACATTGGGAACCTCATGTTCCATCTCCAAAACAGTTCTTCGCACAGAGATGTCTTCTCATAGTTCCAAACCGTCGAGGAGAGTAGAATGTTCTGCTCGACTTCTCAACCAATATCCAGTCATAAACAGTCATAGCGCTAAGGTAGTTCGCTCACTGTCATAACCAAAAATCAGCAACAAGTCACAGGCATCAAGACCATAATGCAGCTCTCCAGATCAAGTATCTGGAGGTTGAATAAGATACGTAGGCATTGTCCTCACAATGCCGAAGTATCTCACATACTCAAAAGATCTGCTTGATTTCTCAGCTAATGTCCAGTCATCAGCAGTCATAGCGCTAAGGTAGTTCGCTTACTGCAATAACCAAACGTCAGCCAATAGTCACAGCTACAAAGGTCACAAAACCGACTTCCAGATCAAATACCCAGAGGTCACAGAAGATACGTAGGCATTGTCCTCACAATGCCGGAGTATCTCACGTACTCACAAGGAGTAATCAAATAGGCTTCACCAACATCTCAGATGTACGAAGCAATGACAAGAATCGAAACTGATGATCCAAAATCATCTCAGCTAGATCCATACTCCTCCAGGAGGTCAAAGAACTTCCGAGATCGATGGAATCATAGCATCCCGACTCAACTGTATATCGAATGCTTCTGAAAGCATTCGTCCACTGTCATAAAGCAAAATAATGCTTCACACTGTATTCAAAGGAGAATCAAGCTCCAAGTAGATCCACTTAGACTCACTGGTCGATATCTCAGATGAGCTCATGCAGCTTCTCATACCACAAAGCAGTATCGAAGCTACTTATGTCTGATGCAGACACCTTCCCATAGCCCAGTTTCACCACTGAAGGCTCAATGAAAGTCAGGTCGCTCCAATGCCACGTTGCACCCCCAAGGGTTCAAACTTCCACACCCCCTTTCGACATGACATTCATTTCTCTCTCTATACATACTCAGATGCATATCCAGTATGAACTTCGCCATACCTTCAAAGTCAAACTCATAAAATACGTCGTATTCGCCAGGAGACTTCGATGCTCCAAGCACGGTTGTTCCTCCAACACTTCGCTCATCTTTAATAAACCGTCCATCCATATCCACAACCATCGCCAACGCTGATGTCAGCAATACTCCACAGACGCCTCCATGGGCACAGCTCTCATCTATCCTCAACCATTCAACATCACCAGTTCAGAATCCATCGACTGATCAACGAGACCATGGCGTCAGTTCACGATCAACTACAGTGCTGTTTGTTGTTCCCTAAAACAAACGAGAACAAAAACAAAACACCAACAACACACACGAGATCCAAGACGAAGACAGACGAAGCACTGTCGGAGTCAACACAAAAAACAAAGGCCGACTGTTTCAGCTAATCCGCATCCTCCAAAGGAAGATAGGCGTGTCAGATCAGCGAAACTGTCGTCAGTTCAAAAAAACTCAGACAAAACTCCACATTCGCGGTGTCACTAATCTTGAACGTGAGTACATTGTTGTACCACGCAAACTCAGCTCCAGACAAGCTATATACTAGATGTACTGAGCTTCGGACACACTAGATACCAAGCGCTTTAAGGTTCAGGCACGCAGGGTACTAGATGCACTAAGCTCAGAGCAACTCTCCACGGCTGGACCTTGTCCCCCTTTTGAAATAAAGTCCATCAACCCTCAAAATTAAATTCTGGTCATCATAAAGAACTGACCTATTGCATGTTCAAACAAAGAAAACAACTACCTAAGCAACTTCACAATCACTACCTACGAACATGTTCACAACGCCAGGGAAATCCATTCCACTGACATCAAGTGGCTCAAAATCAAAAACAAAACCTTCCAAGGGTTTCCATCAGACGTTTGGCCTGGACCTACTTTGATTCTCCTCAATTAAGAATCAGGTCTGGCCTTGTCATCATTTGGAAAACGGCGGCAGATAAACACAAACCACACTCAACAATGAATCAATCACAATACACAAGTTCACAACAAATTCACAAACATGCTCAAGTTCACAAACATGCTCAAGTTCACAAGCATGTCCAAGTTCATAACCAAGTTCACAAACATGTCCAAATTCACAAGCAAGTTCACAAACATGCCCAAATTCACAAGCATGTCCAAGAACAACGCAAACATGACACCGTTCCAATCCAGAGCTGATTCATCCCAAGCAATATCAAACCTTGCAGGCTCACCCCCTTTTGCAGTGCAGGAGGTCTGAATCACAGACACAGTCATAGCAATGGTGCACCAGAGTGAACCTCGAGCTAGCCGATACTAGCTATTCTCTCTGCCGCCAACCAAACTGCTAATCCTTCACAAAAAAATATTCAGGCCTCTCTCAGATGTCATCCCAGGGCGGCACCAGCATCTCTATTGATACACCCGACGACACTGTTGTTGCCCATCGCGCAACATGGCCAGGCCGCCTGGTGCCCAAAGCGATATGAGTCTATGAGGGCATTCACTTGGGCGCCCTTGTATGGCGTAGGGGATAACGTGCGGACTTCACCGCTGGTTGCATCTTTCGACATGATAGCCCCTTGCCGTTGGCCTGGCGTAGTCAGCCCAGGATGCAAAGACATGGCCGGCCTCTGCTCCCCAGGGTTGATAGGGCAGAAGCCCACAAACAGGGACTCAGGCAGTGCAGGCGGTGTCATCAGTCCTGCTGGCATAGTCACTGATGGCGCTGCAGGAGGCGCCACCTGTGGTGGCTGCACATTAGTCCATATGCCGAGGCTCCTGGCGCTCCATGCACTGGCACTCCGCCTGCAGAGGATCCATGTCCAGACGCCCCCTTCGGGGCATGTCCATGCACGGACGATGGAACCGTGTTCCCAGTCATTCCAGCCATATCAGGTGTGGCAGGAGTTCCCACCTGTCCAACTCCGCTTGGAACATTCTGAAGCGGGAAGGATGGGTAACCTTCCATCCTTTCAGGCATCGGCATCCCTGGGGCCTTCAAAGGATCTGGTTCACCCTTTTCTCCGATCACCCGGATGAGATCTCGAAGGAGGCCAGTCACCTCTCCAAGGCCTACCTTGATGGCCTGTTCTATTTTCTCCCCTCGATTTTCCACTTCTTCTTTCACAGAGCCAATGTTATCTTCAAGGGTATTGTTGCCTTTCAGCGACCATTTGGCTATGTGACTGAACTTGTCGAAAGCAGCGAGCAGCTTTTTCACCTCGTTGCTTTGATGAGCAACGGTACTACCCATCGCCGTTGCCCCATGTGCATGAAGAGCAAGCTGCTCTTTGATACTTCCCAGGCTTTTCACTAATTCCAGGCGTCCTTCATTGTACCCTTCCATGGCCTGGTTCAGCTCTTCCGACATGGCTGCAATTCGGCGTGAGCATGCCAGGATACTCTGCGCCAAGGCCT